GGCCCCTAGCTGCGATTGACCAAGAGCGTGCGGGGAAAGCTGCCATTCCTGGGTGCCCAAGGCTTTGCAGGCGAAGGCAACATGAGTCAGCGCAGTGGCACTAAGCGCGGATTGCCACAAGCTTGCCATTGGAGCCAATGGGCAAGCGACATACGCGGCGTCAGTCAACGGTACTGCACACACTTCGTAGACCACGCGATGGGTGTCGTCATTTACGACGGCCGAGCCCTTACGGGCACAACAAAGAGAGCCGGGCGAACCTACTGTCTGTTAAAAAGGGAGCCCTGGGAACTGGATTATCGTAGGAGTGACTGTCGAGGCATCTGCCACATTTCCCCATCCCATGTCCATCGTGTTGTTCCAAGGACAAAAGGGAGCTCAGATAACCGCATAAGGACTTGGACAAAGTGCCTGGTTTTGACTACATTACAGCTTCTCGCCTGCCACAACGCAAGTCTAAATATTATATTCGCGAAGTTCGCCATAAGGAGTCAATGAAAGCTGGCCCTCAGGCTCGGGCGACTATCATTACAGCGACGACCTTTAAGACGCGACAAAGATCAACCAGGATAGGCTTCACAATCGCTCCCGCGCTGTGACACGCAACTGTGGAATAGACACAGGTATAGACACCTACTGATCTGGTCCTTGATAAAAGCCCACTCAATTATGAGGCGTTGAGCTGAGTCCAACGTTTTAGTAACGTACTAATTCGGGGAATAAGGCAACAGTTAATTTCCCCGATTATAATTGACAGAAACGCCAGTCATCAATTTTGTTGGTTGCCCATGCAAATAAGGGGGGGGACAAGGCGAAGGCAGGAGCTTTTGGATATGATTCATAAGCTTACTTTCCCCAGAAGAGGCTACTGAAAGACGTTCACACTATTGTAGAACTTTCTTATACATTTTAAAGGAAGGGTTCCCGTGGATCAAGTTCGACCGACTCATATGACGATATCCAGCGCTGCACCATAGCATGGATGATCTGTGTGGTAATGCGTCTATGGTGCTGTGGAACTAGAAACCGATGGCAAAACAAAGCCAGGAGGGTTGGAAATGGATCTGAGCTGAATCAGTAACAATTTATGACAGCCCGCCTACGCTTGCTACACGAAACCTGGAACAAACTCCCTTTGGGAGGCCTCGGATTAACGCAATTACACGTAATAAAACAAATAATATTCCCGACAAAGACAAGGGAGACTGGAATAGCCATTTGTGGCTTATTAGCCGTCGTCAGCCAGTCATACCCAGACCCAAGTGATGCCCCACTCGAGTCTCGAACTCGCGACCTCGGCTGACGACGGCTAATAAGTCAGAAATTACCATTCCAGTATCCCATGTCTTTGCCGGCAATACTATCTGCCTGTAATACCAGCTGGTACGGCTGCCAGGGCCTCTGGTGAGTCCCGTTAGCAGTCAGGTGAACGTTCATCAACGAAAGTACTAAAACAATTGACGCAAAATCGAGGAGACCCTGTTGATCATTTTATGCTTGAACATCCTACCTGCCAGCGGTTTTTTTCGGCTTCATAGTCACATTAACCAAAATAAATCATGTGTAGGGGCAAACTGGTCGTAGAAGCTCTCGTGTTAATGTCACTTACGAAAATAACGTCCGGCTATTAAGTTTTTCGTGGTTTGCATGTTTACACAAAGTCAATTATACTTTTTCTCAAAAAATAGACCAACCTCGGCTTGATGAATTTTGCTACTTGATGGGCATAGCGTACTTTG